GTGTGTGTGTGTGTTTTTGTGTTTTTTTTTCCGGGGAAAGGGGTCTTGTCTGTTTCGAGTCACATTGTCCGCCCGGCTTTGTCGCAGCCGTGCAAACGTGACGCTGGCTGAGGTGTGGAATGCAAATTCGGCTTTGTATGTCGTACTCACAGCACACATGTCGGACAGCCTTTGCTGAAACACATCCCTGGAGGGTAGCACTTGCTTGTGCTGACTCAAAGATCAAATCACGCCGCAATTTGGCGAGTGTCGGGTCCTCGTCCGTGTCCACAAGTGCAGTTCTTAGGGGTCCTTTGCTCGTGTACGGACACACGATCAATGTCCGTGGCTGCTTTTGGCAGTACAGCTGCCGCACAGACGGGCAGCCCGTGTGAGAAGGGGTTGCTGCATGGCATCCAGCCACATGAAGTCGTGCAGCGTGGCATAGACTTGTTTCGCTCTGAGCTCTCTGTCGAAGACCTTTGGGGCCCAGCGCCTCCAAGTGGCGCAGCTTTCCTCGAAGCTGTGCTGAGCTTCTACCAGGACGGGGTTTGCGATGTGCCTTGGTTCTTCCAGGCTGCTGGTGACAGTCAGGGCGACTCAACCGGCCTCTCGCGAGCAATCGTTCGTTCCCCACTTTCCCGAGAGATCCAAGAATCCACTGTCCAGAACTACAAGGAACGGATTTTTCGGGAATCCATCTCGCAGGTCGCTGCTGGCTTCTTGTCGGCATCTATAGGACTATAGGCTTGCTGGTGTCTCCTTGGGCGTGAATTCGTGCTGCAGTCTGCGTGGCACCTAAGATAACACAGGGGCATTGCTGCCTTGCTGTGTTTCCTGTCGCTGCCACCAAGTTCAGGTGAGCCAGTGTTCAAGTTCCGCACCGCTGACAAGGCCTGGCCTTGCGAGGCCGGGACCTGGAACCACCGCGCAGAAGCGGTATACCGGGCTGCTGCAGAAAACTCAGAGCATGAGAACGTCAAGCCTGTGCTGGCCAGGGGACTCAAAGCCGTCAAGTTTGTCCATTGGCGCATCCCTCCCAAAGTATGGCAACGATTTATCCACACGCACAATAGCTTTCACCAAGGCTCTGGTGCAAACTTCATTGATCATTTGGAGGAATCAGTGGCCATCGAATCGGAATGGGAACTGGAGACGTCCAAGTCCGGGCTTCACTCGGCTAACCCTCGCTACAAGACTGCCTACAAAGACTTCCTGCTCGCGAAAAGTGCCTTTGGCAGCAATCATCATTCTAGGATCGTTCGTAGGAGATGAAAGACTGATTGCCTTTATATTATGCCATGCCCCCCGCACAACAACAATGAGTTCGCATGTGGGCTCATGTGGGCTCAGTTTGGTGCTCAAGTGAGTCGCAGCCAGGGGCTGAGACGGCTCAACCCAGTAAACCCCCCAACCGTGTCATATATAGACCTATCCTGTAGCAAACCTTCGCAACCTCCTGACCCGGCCCCGCCGGCCCCGACTCAGATCCTGCCAAACACTTGAAACGTTCCAGGCATGTATTTTCACGATTGGGATTCCTACCGGAAGGCCCTGTCGCTCATGCACATGCTCCAGAAGAGATTCAAAGTATGGACCCCCTGCCACCAGTTTTGGTGTGCACACGTTGATTTTCTCGGAGAGATGGACCCATCCGCCGTTATCAGCTGTATGCACCAGTTGGCCGTGCTTATCACTGGGAACATGTGCAAATTCTACAGCAACTCCCAAGTCGGCATTGTTCTCATGCATGCTTTGCGGCATTGTGCCACGAGGTAGCATTCGGGAACTGGGCCTTGTTGTTGGGCCTGCCGTCTGTCGCTAGTTCTTGGTTATGTTCAGGTTCTGGCTCGTGTTTAACTTAATTCTGATTTGTTTCCTTGCTCTGCATGACTCGCTGGCCTCAGGTTCCTAAGGCTGCCGGAAAGGCAAGCAGTGAACGGCTGCCAGGATGGACTTTTCAACGTTGGGATCAGGATAGTGCCAAGATGAATCTGATCAATCTCCCGATGGGCGAGTCTGTGGTTGCTCGAAAGCTGTCTGCGCAAAACGGTGAGCAGGATTGCAAGAACAACGGCAAGCGAGCCCAAGTCTGTGGAGACGTTCGCGAGGAGTTGGCTGGCTTGGGTGTACGTGACAAGAAGGCTCGTGTAGAGTGTCAGGGGGACGGCGGAAATTCTTCCGCGGCCCAGCCAGCATCAGAAGACCCGCAGATTTCATTGTTGGACGCCGCTGAAGGATTTTCTGTGAATGGATGCTGGGATTGAAAATGAGTTTCTTTTTCAGACCAGCTACTAGCTAGCGTTTTGTCTCAGGGCCCCATCGCCGTCACAGCTTCGTAGACAACGAGTTTGCATTTGCCCAGATAAGGCGATGAGGCCGGTGCACGAGCTTCGAGCAAAGCGTCTGGCCTCGGTGCTGGGGCGGTGAAGATCAAGAAGTCAGACAAGAAGAGTGCTTTCATCCCCTTCTCACCGGACGAGAAGATGTACTTCCAGAAGCTGGTTCCGCCAGCTGCATCAGTGGACGCAGCTGAAGACCCAGGAAAGCGAGCCCTGACCGCCATGGATGACTTCATGCAAAGCATGAAGTATGCGGAGAAGGTTGTCAAGGTTGGGCCTCCAGTCCACCGTCTCCTAAACCCTAAACCCTAAACCGTGAGTCCACCGTCCATGTGGCTTCGAATTCGGATTTAACTCTGAAGCCTTTACCTGTTCCATGCTGTCAGGATCTACATGGCCAGGACGTGCCCAAAGAAAGCCTGGAGAACACCTTTTCCTTCTGTGCTGCTTCGCTGCACTGCATGCGGGCCTGTGTGTTCACTGTGCAGATTGATTGAGGCCAGTTGCTTACTTTCTCTGCCAATCGTTCGCCGGATGCTGAATGCCTAGGCTGGCCTTTGGCTACAGTTCACGTTTGAGACGAGGGTCTGCTTAAACGGGAAGGATTTGAGAGTTTGGAGCGGTGCACGTGCTGAACTTCAATCCACCTTTGTCGCGGCCATGGATTACATGCGCACCGGTGGCAGTGATGAGTCCCAAGGAGTCGGGGGCCAGGCCTCTGGCTCAGAACGGAAGCTAGGTGCCCTCGATTTGGCGAGAGTCCTGTGTCAATCCTACGTTAATGTTCCTGTGAAGTCGCTCATCCTTGACGACGAGGAATCTCAGAGCCTGCGGCGGGTAGCAAGCTGTATGTCGATTCAATACGAACAGGTTGTACTGCCGTTGAAGAAGTACTTGGAGACGCAGATGAAACTTCCCATTGTCATGCATGAGGTGGTTCGGGACACACTGTCCACGCTACGTGACATCAAAGTTCAACTTTGTGCCACTCATTTAGGGGTTTAGGGTTGAGGTAGGGTTGAGGGTTCAGGGATAGTTAGGGTTTAGGGTTTATATAGGGTAGATCGTGGTAGCGGTAGTGATACATGTGTGTCCTCAGATTGATGGCGCATGGCAACAAGAGGATGGACCTGATTGATCTGGTGTGCTTGATTCAAGGCCAGGTGTCAAAGGTGCTGCCGTTCCAATGGTCTCTCTTTGCCACTGATGTGGCGGAGCTGTATGCTGCTCGTGGTCATTTCGTTGAACGTACAAACGAGGCACATCAATGCTGCTGATATGTGTCAAAGGCGTTAGAGGTTGTGCGGGTCCTTCACGGGTTATGAGCCATGAGCTTGCAGGACTCATCGGCGGGAGTGCTAGAGGTTATAAGTGAATGCCAGGTGTTTGACCAAACTACTTTGGAGAAGTTCCTGAGCTTACGTCTCCAGTATTTGGCGCGCCTGGTGAGCTCGGCGTGCACTTGCATCCCTGAGCTCGTCATCAAGAATGTGCGGCCGGAGACCTTTCAGATGCTGTCCATTTGGGCCGATCAAGTGCACCAGCACATGGATGTTCTAGTTCCCTTTGATTCCGTGCTTTCAGCTGCGGACTGGGGCACAAAGTGGGCTGATGTCTTGACACAGGCTGAGAGCATCGGTGACCTGGTTTGCAAAGTCCAGGAAAAGTTGAAGGTGGAGGTCGAGCCACAGCCAGGTTCAGGCTCTTCCGACTCCAAGCCAACCGGAGCAGCCGCCTACATGCAGCTGCGCAAGACCCATGAGGCAGAGGCAGCCGAGGCAGAGGTGACTCCGTTCAAAGCGCTCAAGCCCGAGGCACATGCTTCCAAAGCAGGTGACGTGGCAAGATACGAATCAACAACACCGCTGCAAGAAACTAATTTAACCATTTACCCGCTCGATTGATTCCAAGGCGATGAGAAAAAACCTCTTGCCACCAGCGTCACGCTTGCCTCGGTGAACAGCTTTGTGAGCGACAGCTTCCAGGCCACGACGAAGCTTTCAAAGGAGTGCCAAACCCTCGGGATGACCACTATCAGTGCAGCCTTCGTGAAGAAGCTTGAGCATAAGCTGAACGCCTGCTTGTGGGATGCCTATCAGGAGCTTGGGCTGGGCCAAGATGATGCTGTGCGCATCAACATCAAGACCACTGGTGGTGCCAAGGGTGGCAAAGATGCTGTGCAGGTGGCGTTGCCGGTTCCCGACAAGTTGCGCATGCCCTACGTGAATCGGTTGTGCACGGCCAAAATGCCAAAGTCCATTTGGTGCTGCAAGATTTGTGGAGCCTTTTGTTTGCAGTTTGGGGAATGTTTACCAACTGTTTCATGCAGGGCTTAAGCTGGTGGGTATGCCTTAGCTTAGCTTTCTCCGGCTTCCCCCCTCCATGGGATTTATACTCGATTACGGCGTTGGCCCTGACACCTGTGCTTTCCACGTCGCTCAGTGCTCATGCCTTGTAGTGACTTGTAGTGCAACGTTATAGCTGGTTGGCAGACAGGCGAGGCTCCAATGCCTCTTCTCACTTCCTGGAAAACGTTGCAAAAAGGTGACACTTGCTGTTTGCTGATTGGCGGTTGTGTTATGTACAGTCTACTCAACCTAATCATTGCTTAATCATGCGTGCCGTTATGTTTCAATGCCATCTTCAGAATGCAGAGTCTTATGTCTTATGTAGCTCGACTTGTGTCAGGTTGACTTCTGGATGGAGCCGTGCAAGGATGCTTTGAACACAGACTTTGTGGTTCCGTCGTGGGCCGCACGATGCGTTTCACGCAATGACCAGGCATTCTTCGAAGCAGTGACCGTCACGCAGAACGTCATTCTCTACAAGGTTGGTGAGTCTGACCTGGACTTCGACATGCTGTGTCTGCCAGACCGAGACGCTCCCTCTTACTTGGCTCGGCAAGCCCGCATCCAAGCAATTCAAAAAGCAACTCACGTTGTCGTCCCGCTTTCGATCCAGTGCCTCTCTCCCGTGCATGACCTTCAGGCTTGGTGGGGTTTTAGAAACACCTCGCTCCATGAAGCATCATGGGTTATGGGGGAAGGGTCGGCCAGATTTTGGCCAGGGCTGGGTTGGGCTTGGCAGGAGAAGCTGGACAAGGACTTGAAGGATCAGCGAGACAGTGTTGAGAAGCAGATCCGGAACTGGATCACCACCTCCACGAAGGCCAAGGTGAAAGCTGTGAAGAACAAAAGGAAGCAGAGCACGACAACCGAGGACACGCCAGCTTCCAAAGCCGCCGATAAGACCAATGCAGCCATGTTCGAAGCCCTCGGCCTTGCAATGCCAGCGGACCGAGATGAGCAGATTGCAGCGCTGGTGGAGTTGCGCGACGAAGAGGGCAGGTATGAAGCGCTTGTTCAGAAGGCCAAGGAGGCGATCGCACCGCCTGACAGCATCCCTTTGACACGGCTGCAGGGAGATGATGAAAAGTCTCGGAACGTGAGGGCGAAACTGATGCAGGAAGCTCTCGAGGCAGCCAAGAAAGTGGAGTGCGGCGCAGGCAATGCAGATGAGTCGTGTGAAGCATCTCGTTTCGGTGCCATGGCGGCGCTGAGGGATGCTCAAGAGAAAGGCGGTTTTGCTACCAAGGACCCCAAGGACCGCATCAGTGCGATCGCCTTCTGTAGGTCCAGTGCCATCTTTAGGATGCTCGTAGTCCGGCAGCACTTTTCGTCCGCCATAACTTGCCCGACCCACAATAAGACTTAGCCTTGTAGTCTCTGCTTGAAGACCCCGAGCCCTGAACAATGACCTGTCCCGTCACCGTCCCGTCTGTTGCCCAAATCCCCAAGCCGCTTTTCTCTTTACTGCCAGGACAAGAAGAAAAAGAACGTTGCCGCGAAAGATGTGCTGCAGATCGGCAAGCACTTGCTGAAGTAAGGGCATGTGCCAGGTGGATCGGATGCAGGAATAGGATGAGAAGATGATGACCCGAGTAAAGTAATTTCGATGCACAGTTTTGTGTGGGCCTTTGCTGATAGCTAGCGGCTGCTGCGACGGGTTTTCCAACCTTCTTCAGCCTTCAGCATTGAAATCGGGACGGAGGAGTCAGGGTATGTGTATACTACGATGTCAGCTGTACTGCGTATCAGAGAGCTTTAGGGCTTTTAGATTGTAAGAACAGAAGTAAAAAGCTTTGGAAACTTGAGCTCATTTAGAGACTTCGGGTGCGGCCTTCACGTGCTCGAAGGTTGAAGGCGTTGTTTCCTTTTTGGGTGCATAGGCAATCTTCGTTTCTGCGAAGTGGCTGAGCTCCGCAAGTCACGTGACGCGTATATCTACTTGGCCAAATCACATGTAGCACTCTTGTTCCAGATCCCCCATTCCCGGCCAGCCTTGGTTCAGCTGACTACGCCGACTGAATGATTGCCGGTTGCTGCTTCAGATGTACAGTGCAATGCAGCGCAGAGTGCCAGAAGGCACATGGGCAGGCAACCTGCGTGATCGGATATTGCAGGCTGCGCGTTTTTTCATTCCAGCCTACTTGTTGTTTGTGCTTCCCTATAGTGGATTGGCAAGAAATTCTCGCTAATTAATGCTTATGTTGAGGGTCTCAGGGTTTGCAGCTATGCATCCATTCATTCATCTGATTGTGTGGTGATAGTGGTAGCGGTAGCGGTATAGTACAACTAGTAGTAGTGGCAGTATCGTGGAAGCACATCATTCTCATCAGCGGTAGGCTGGTTGACGCTTCATGCCCATTTGCAGCTGCCCTTTCATCCAGTATACTATGTTACGGCTACGGGGTCTAGCTTGCGCAGCCACAGCCAATCGATCGATCCATGATTGGCAGCAATGCTAAGTGCAAGGAAAAGAAAGGTGCCGCTGGAGTGGTGGAAACAAATCGGTGGCATGTTTTGCGAGTGATTGTCGCGGAGTTGCAGCTTAGCATTGAGTGTTCACGCCGTTCAGTTCTGGCT